ATATTTTACCTAATATTTACCTAATATTTTACAGTTTTATTAACCTAATATTTTGTGCATTTATTGATAAGCCCTTCAGTGGCACAGCGGTATATCTGCGGACTTACAACGCTAGAAATCGGGTTTCGATACCCGTGGCGGGCAGATCACAGATAGCCCATTGTGTAGCTTTGTGCTTAACTTCAAAACAAACAAACAATTTATTGACAAAAACGGTATTTAATGTTTTTGAAGTAGCATTTTTGAAGCCTTACTGATCTAATATCTTGTGCATTTATTGATAAAACGAGGTATTTAATGTTTTTGAAGTAGTATCTATAGCTTTATTGATACATTATTTTGTGTATTATTGATCTAGTATTTTGTGCATATATGGATCTAGCATTTGTGTATTTATCATAAAACAATATATTTACTGTGTTTTGAACTACTTTTTTGCTAGTGACCTGTTTGACCAGCAGTATCCTGACTTTGTCAGCTATTGCTTGCGATCGTTTCGTAGGTGTATTATTCCCTCTACGTGCAAGAATTACTAAGCAGCGAACAGGGATGGTTATCAGCGCCATCTGGCTGATTTCAATGACAGTGTCTATTCCATTTCTTATTTATAGACGCCACTACGCTTTCCAGGTGAAACTCCAGTCCAGCAAATGATAAGTAGTAGTTTGTTTACACATCTGTATACTATCTTGATGTTAATCCGTAATTGAATTGTATGCACATTTTGGTTATTTTTGAGATGATTCAAAATCATCAACAGTTTTTTTTTCTACTAAAGTACATTTCAAAATAATTGTAATTAATAAAGAAACAAACAAAACAGACGAGTAACCAACCAGCGATAATTACCGATATGATTAATTTGGCTCTATATAGTATGGTTATTATATGTTTTGATGAAGTTTAACATTTCTATAAATGTAAAAAATATCACGACCTATATCTCTAGAATATAACTTTATTAGCTCAATATTTCGCTATTACAGCTTGGTCAGGGGCTATCGTCAGGGGCTCCATAATCCAGTTGAATCTAAACTAAAACACTGTCATTCGAAAATATACACGTGTTTAGAAAGTTCATATTATCAAACATTATTGAATTTATTTAAATGGAAATTATTATGATAGTGTTTCAGTTTAGATTTAACTGGATTAAGGAACTTGTAGGATACCGATTGCTTCTGACGAAGCTGTAATAGCGAAGTTTTGAGCTAATAAAGTTACATTCTGGAGGTATAGGTCGTGATTTGTTTTTACATTTATATAAATGTCTCATAATAAACACTAGTTTGCGTTAAACAATGTTAAGAATAATAAGTTTAATATTATTTATAATTCTGTTACGAGAATAAGCCCAGATTTCGTTTTAGCAATATTCAACTAGTATTCAGGAAATTTTCATGTTTAATGTTAGTAAACCTTAAAAAAAATACAAGTAGTTTTATCACAACCATCTCCTTGTAATATATAGTCTATTGTCAAAACTTAAACCCGTTAATTTCGATTATTTATAGACATTTCTTAAACAATATGAAATATAAAACAATATAGATAAAACGTCTCATTTTATTTGCGAGTGACGTTCCCATTAGAAGCAGAGCAAAAATTGATCATAAAATGTCACTGTATTTCCTCTTATAACTAATTCTGATCAAAAACTGCTTCAGAATATGGTAGGATACGGACATATGCCATATGATAAATTCTGTACGGTATGAACTAAAATTACCATTTTTTTTAATTCGCACGCGTGTGTCCCAAGGAATTTGTGTAGATGTTTTTTTTTCGGAAATGATGTCATCTTTGAGTGTATTTCAATCTATTTTTTATCTTGTCGAAATGACACGAATACAAAGTATCGTATCTTTCACGACACACTATTTCGTTATGAGTTTCCATCAACGCATCTTTTTTACAGCATTTAATCACTGCTGCTCAGATGGATTTTTTTAGCTTCATATACTTTATATCAATATAACATCCCATGAAGATATTACAAAATACCTTTATAGCAGTAAATTGAACCTAACATTAATAACCTTTCAAAGTGTAGTATCTGGTTACTATAAGGAATGCTTTTAATTACATATTACACATACAAGTTTATAAACTCTAAAAGATACGTAGGAAGCTTCAAAAAGTATTTTTTTTTTTTACATTTCCGGGTGAGGTCCTCTTTATTCGAACTTTATTTCGATATAATGTGGTACGTGTTAATAAAATAAGGAAAAAAATAGTATGCAAACTACAGACTCTCGTGTCACAGTTAATAAAACGCATATTTATGATTCAAACAAGGTTTATAGTACTTAGGGTTAAACTGTCAAAGAATGTTAACTCTTTATTGAGTGACTTGGTGTGAAATTGTTCTTATAATACTTCACACTTTCAGACTAAACAAATCTTAAAGTGTATGCAATGGTATATTGTGATAGGACAGCTGTGAGTCTACGGACCAGCAACACTAAAATCCAGTGTTCCATTTCCTGCGGTGGACACAGCAAATAGTCCAACGTGGTTTTGCTTTAAAACAAGCAACGGTGTATTGAGTATACACTGTACAGAACAAAGAGAAATCCTATGAGCAACTGTTTTTGAAACTAATGTGTAAAATAAGATGTTTATTTCAACTAAGCCAAGAAACATTTTTAGTTAATAGAAATGTAAAGGAGACGAATGTAAACTGTGTTATCCATTTTAAATGTTCACATTTCAATGGTCATAGCCTAACCTCTAAATTCCATCATGATATCTAATGGAATCGTATATATTTATGTGGTTATCTATTATTATCGGTGTATTTACTTCCCAATATAATTCCAACGTAATGGAGCGTATTTATTCTACAAAGTTGTTATTTTATTGTATTGCAGGAATTTAGTTTATAGGGGGTTGTCTAATTGGATCTAGTAAAGTTATTCCTAATTGACTTGTCTTACGATAATAGGAGCATTTACTCTTTAGACCACAGTGGGTATCACAGAATTAAGCGTATTTAGGCTACAGTTGGATATAAAAAAATTAAGCGTATGTGCTTAACAAATTATTACTTAGACCACACCCAAAAAATCTTGGTCTACGGATTTTCTACAAGGTGGCGAGCGATTTTTTTGCTAAAAAGCTTAGATAATTTTTTATTCTCAAAAACATGGTTCAAGGTCCTGCAAATGTATTAACTATCCTAGGACAGTAAAGACACTTTTTTTAACCTACCATCGAATCAAAAAAGGTAGATATCTTTGGTACTTATGGTCTTGCCATAGAATATTTAATGAATTTGAAGTCACATTATGAGCGAAAATTGAATCAGAACATTGTAACGTATAGATGTATGAGCCAGATCATAAATTATAGACGGTATGAACCAAAATGACTACGAAGAATTGGTGTCGAACATTACTTTTTTTAGAAACGACGTTAGATTTGAGTATATTTCAATCTATTTTCTATCATTTAGGCAAATCAACCGCAACAGAGGACAAACTACCTGATCTGCTTTGGGACATGGCACACTCGACATCAACATTTATGTATAATTGCTCATCACTCGCAGTATTCCCCAAAAAATATCCAAAAGTAGTCGACTCCTGAATGCAATGTAAAGTGTTTGTCTTGATTAAGTTAACCCTTCCCACATTCATTTGTTTTTCTTCAAGCTCACCAGCTGAGCAACTCCTTGTTTGATAGATAAACCAGAAATAACGCTGCGACAATAACTGTCAGAGTGGGAATCAGTTCCAGACTCGATTGCCGATTTTTGAGATGAGAAAAAAATCAGTTGCTTAAAAATAGAAGTGGAGGTATCCGTTGCTCAGATTTTATTTTGGTGTGGCCTTAAGGGGTTGGTGTAATTCCGTTGCATAGATTTTATTTTGGTGTGGCTTTAAGACGTTGGTGTCATTCAGTCGCCCAGATTTTATTCTGGTATGGCTTTAAGGGGTTGGTGTCATTCAGTCACCCATATTTTATTTGGGTGTAGTCTTAAGGGGTTGGTGTTATTCTATCGCTCAGATTCTATTTTGGTCGGTGTCATTAGATCACAAAGATCCAAACGTATGTTTTAACAAAGATTATTTAATCAGTTGGATGTATTTAGTGCACAATTAAATATCATAAACAATAAAGTATATTTATCCAACAGAATATTATTTTATAGGGTTGAGTGTATTTATTATATATCTTACCATTTAACTGAGTCGGTGTATTTGTCCAATAGAAGATTAATTTAAAAGGTTGAATATATATATATATATATATATTACAATTTAACCAAGTCGGTGTATTTGTCCAACAGATGATTAATTTAAAGGGTTGAGTGTATTTATTATGTATCTTACCATTTAACCGATTCGATGTATTTGTCCAACAGAAGATTAATTTAAAGGGTTGAGTGTATTTATTATGTATTTTACCATTTAACCGAGTCGGTGTATTTGTCCAACAGAAGATTAATTTAAAGGGTTGAGTGTATTTATTGTGTATCTTACCACTTAGCTAAGTCGGTGTATCTGTCCAATAGAAGATTACTTTAAAGGGTTGAGTGTATTTAATATGTACCTTACCATTTAACTGACTCGATGTATTCGTCCAACAGTGGAAGAATTTTCTGGAACTTCACTGTGGCGAGAGTTGGCCTCAGAAGATCGAGTACGATTTAAGCCTTGAGAAATGTATAACAAGATATCCATCGAAACAGCTGTACTACACCTTTATAACAGTTACACTCTTCTTTCTTCCTGTGGCTATAATGACAGCCGCTTACACCATGATCATTTGGAAACTGTGGGTTAACAAGGTTCCTGGTGAGAGAAGTCAGGCTAATATCACTGTCCAGCACAAAGCCAAGAAAAAGGTGACGTACATATTCTATGTTCGTTGTGTTTTAGACCGAATTAACCTTAGATATTGTATGTTCAACAATAAATTAAGTCTAAAATGTTCTTTGAATAAGCCGTTATTAATATAACTATATAAATAATCATTTTCCTAGGGTAAATAAAAATGCTCCTTTACCTCGCTTTTCCTATGAGCCCCTTCTATTTGGAAAATATGGAAGATGAAATAAAGTAAAATTAGCCTTTCAGTAAGTATACCCTCCAAAACAGTTCGACTTTATAATTAATAAATAACAAACAGTACAGGAAAAAATTAACAAGATAGCTATAAAATAAACATATTTTTGATAACATTGGAATAAAATCAAAAGTAGTGTTCAATTTAAAAGTGAACGATTATCAAGGTTTATCAACTTTATTAGCATTCAAATGGATTAAATTGTTGCTATTTATTTTATGGCATGGCCTGGTAGTTAAGGCGTTCGACTCGCAATCTGAGGGTCGCGGATTAGAATCCCCGTCACTGAACAGGTTCGCCTTTCCAGCTGTGGGAACGTTATATTGTGGCGGTCAATCCCACTATTCGTCGGTAAAAGAGTAACCCCTATAGTTGGCAGTGGGTGGCGCTGTGTAGTTGCCTTCCCTCTAGTCTATCACTGCTAAATTAGGGACGACTAATGCATATAGCCCTCTTGTAGCGTTGCGCGAAATTCAAAACAAACACAAATTTATTTTACACACGCATGCGTGTTACAGTAACCTGGTTACATGACAGCATTTTCAAGTCAGACTTTCAAATGAGCTTTGCGGTATTTTCGTTCACTGCGTTGCGTGGATCATTTTGTGTTTAGATTGTAGTGTCGGTGATGTACTGTGAATGAAATGAAAAAAAAAAAATGCTGCTAGAGCACAATCACAAAAAATGACATCCATTTTGACAAAATAGGTGATTCTGGTTTTTAAACATTTCTCAGAAAATTCGGAGGATTTTTCAACAGCTCGTTCACTTGACGCTCCGCTTTCATCTTAGCTTCAATGTGCTGCGTAAACGACAACTGATTGTTAAACATGGAATCCATTCCTTTTGATGAGGAACTACTCCAAACAAATTGTCTTGTAAATCGTGGTTTGGTATTACATATAATTGTAAGACGGTTTTCACAAGGCATGAAGACAAGATCTAAAATGAATTCATCATTGACAAAAAGTTCTAAGACCATAGCTATTTATCTGAGTCTCAGTCTATTTGACTGCACGGTTGTCTAACTATTTCGATGGTTTGATGGATGCATTGTTTTACGTATAGACAAAGTATTCTAAATTTCTTGGATTGGTTGGTGTTTAAAGGACTACGTAGGCTTGTAGCAGTTATAGAAAGCGTTAAATCATTTATTGCACTTTGATGGTGAAAGCTTAAGTAGTTTCGTATGTAATCACCTTAGATAAAGTGTTATATAAGATACTGATGCCATTTGCATTTTGTTTTGTTTTTTTTAACATGGAAATTAGTTAAAGCTAGCGTTAAATAACTATATGGTATCCTTGTATTGTTACAGCTAGTTAGTTTGGGGATTGCATATTAATAATAATAATAATGCATCACAACTTTCTCGTCTTTTTCCATTATCATATAATAATTTTATACTGTTACAAGTGTTTTGTTCCATGATTTTATAATACTTTTGCTATTATAACTGCTTCTCTGATGGCTACATAATAATATTGTAACTTTACGACTACTTTCCTATGACTGTACGGTCACTGTAATAAGGTTACATATGTTTTGTTTGATGGCTGTACGTAGTTACATGTTTAATATCGTAAAGGTATATTTTCTAATTCTGTAAAACAAAATGTATTTTATCAACTATTGTACAAGAGTGTAAGAAAAGTGTGCTGTTACAATTAAAGTGTTTTGTTTGATGATTGTATGATATGTTATACTGTTATGACTATTTTGATGAATGTAGAATAATTTTCACTATCCAATTTCTTTTTTGTTCGCATATGATTTATTAAATGGTTTTTAGTTTCAGATAAAACAAATTCTAATAACCAGACAAGAGGGAGTGATATAATTTAAAGTAAAGGAGTTGTAACTGTCTTCAAATGGGAGTGAAATAATTTAAAGTAAATGAGCTGTAAATGTCTTCAAGTGGGAGTGGTATAATTTAAAGTAAATGAGCCGTAATTGTCTTCAAGTGGAAGTGATATAATTTAAAGTAAAGGAGTGGTAATTGTCTTCAACTGGGAGTGATATCATTTAAAGTAAATGAGCTGTAATTGTTTTCAAGTGGGAGTGATATAATTTAAAGTAAATGAGCTGTAAGTGTTTTCAAGTGGAA